TTTAACAGTGGTATTTCTATATCACTCTACAATTGATGTATTGAGCACTATTTTAACATTGGTATTTCTTTATTGTTCTACAATTGATGTATAGAGCACTATTTTAACAGTGGTATTTCTATATCACTCTACAATTGATGTATTGAGCACTATTTTAACAGTGGTATTTCTATATTGCTCTACAATTGATGTATTGAGCACTATTTTAACAGTGGTATTTCTTTATTGTTCTACACTTGATGTATAGAGCACTATTTTAACAGTGGTATTTCTTTATTGTTCTACACTTGATGTATAGAGCACTATTTTAACAGTGGTATTTCTATATTGCTCTACAATTGATGTATTGAGCACTATTTTAACAGTGGTATTTCTATATTGCTCTACAATTGATGTATTGAGCACTATTTTAACAGTGGTAATTCTATATCACTCTACAATTGATGTATTGAGCACTATTTTAACAGTGGTATTTCTATATTGCTCTACAATTGATGTATTGAGCACTATTTTAACAGTGGTATTTCTATATTGCTCTACAATTGATGTATTCAGCACTATTTTAACAGTGGTATTTCTATATCACTCTACAATTGATGTATTGAGCACTATTTTAACAGTGGTATTTCTATATAGCTCTACAATTGATGTATTGAGCACTATTTTAACAGTGGTATTTCTATATTGCTCTACAATTGATGTATTGAGCACTATTTTAACAGTGGTATTTCTATATTACTCTACAATTGATGTATTGAGCACTATTTTAACAGTGGTATTTCTATATAGCTCTACAATTGATGTATTGAGCACTATTTTAACAGTGGTATTTCTATATTGCTCTACAATTGATGTATTGAGCACTATTTTAACAGTGGTATTTCTATATTGCTCTACAATTGATGTATTGAGCACTATTTTAACAGTGGTATTTATATATCGCTCTACAATTGATGTATTGAGCACTATTTTAATAGTGGTATTTCTATATCACGTTACAATTGATGTATTGCGCACTATTTTAACAGTGGTATTTCGATATCACTCTACAATTGATGTATTGAGCACTATTTTAACAGTGGTATTTCTATATCACGTTACAATTGATGTATTGAGCACTATTTTAACAGTGGTATTACTTTATTGCTCTACAGTTGATGTATTGAGCACTATTTTAACAGTGGTATTTCTATATCGCTCTACAATTGATGTATTGAGCACTATTTTAATAGTGGTATTTCTATATCGCGTTACAATTGATGTATTGCGCACTATTTTAACAGTGGTATTTCGATATCACTCTACAATTGATGTATTGAGCACTATTTTAACAGTGGTATTTCTATATCACGTTACAATTGATGTATTGAGCACTATTTTAACAGTGGTATTACTTTATTGCTCTACAGTTGATGTATTGAGCACTATTTTAACAGTGGTATTACTTTATTGCTCTACAGTTGATGTATTGAGCACTATTCTCTGATTTTATAGACCTTCCAGTTGGCCAAGCAATAAACAGACTTTAACAGTATGACCAAGAGGTTTAAACAAGGACTGTTTGGTAAACAGGAACCTTGAATGGTTGATGGTTGATGATTGGTGTTTATTGCAATCATTGATACAACCAACCAAAATATGGACCAAAAAACCTGTAAAACTGAAAAACACTAATATGATCTAAATTTTAACAGATTTCATAAAGATCTGTAATGTTGATTATGTGTCTTTGTATTTTCGAAACCTTTTTTTAACCAAATGATAATTGTTAATTTTGTAGTCTGGATCAATTGGTGAACGTTTGTTATCAACTGTAAAAAGAGTTAAAAAATATCGTTCAGGTGTAAAAATTGTGGACGTTTCATTTTCAACCACCAAATTATGTGAGAAATATAAAGCAGGATTCTTATTGAGGTATTGAATTTATCTGCCCAGATCTCTTTATACTTTTAGTGTATCAATACTAATCAATATGCTCATCTGTCTGTTCAAATTTCCTCATAACACACAGCATTTAAAGGTCTTAGTTCACCATTTGGGAGGTTGAATTGGGCCTTGAAAATATGTAAATAGTTTTCAGAAGTACCAGAAATGTACAGAAAATGGCAGAATTTCCTCAAACTAGGAATTTTTTTTATCTTCAGTCTGAAAATATGGGTATTCAAAGCACAAGCACAGTTTGATTCGATATAGAAGTCGGATTTAGAGGTCCCACTTTATCATAAGATTTATTTATTGCCTGCCAAATCATACCCAGTCTGGACCCTAATATCATTAAATAAAAAAAGGCAATTTTGCATAGATACTTCTTAAATATATATTACTTTATAATTGATATAATCCCTAATATGAATAGTTCATTAGTTGTTCAATGTGTTGCCAAACTGTTATTTTCGGTTACCGTTTTGCAGTTCAGGGTTTTTTTTATTTCAATCATTACTTATATCATTGTTACATCAATTTTAGCCAGTCTCAGTCTTCATCCTCAATCCAAGTATCTGGGTGTCTGAAATCAAATGGTATGTGGATTTGTACCAAAGGTTTGGAGATATTCTTGGTCAATCCTCACAGGCTAACTGAAGTGGTGTTATTTCATCGGTTGATGCAAGATTATAAATGTACAACTAGGCTATTAGACACATCCATTACACTCAACCCTAGGTAAGCCAGATTTATATTGTTTCTTATATACCAATAATGGTTTAATAACATCTAGCAGAAATGAAATAGAATGGGATGGGATGTAGCACAATCGGTTAGTGTGTTGAAATCTTTACATGACATCATTTACTGAAAGGGTCAGTTATGCCATTTTTTGGACCAATCATACTTTAGTCTCAGAAACTGTTTTTACCTAAGCTAATCAGTAATAGTGTTCACAGCTCACCGTCGAAATTTTAGCCTTGAAATCCATGTGTGTCCAGAATTATCTGCATTTGAATGTCAAAATGACGACTCGTCAACTTAACATAGTCTGTGATATATAGAAAATACATATATAGAAATAGTGAGTAAATTTCTAGTTTGAAATATTTGAAAGGAATTATATGATTTTCGTACATTTCTAGTACTTCTGAAGACTATTTACATGTTCAAGACTCAAATCAACCACCAAAAATGGCACACCTGTCCCTTTAATTACAAATTGTGATCTGCATTTGAAAGTCTGTCTGGGGCCCTTAAAAAATCCCAAATATATAACTGTAAATTGTTCTTCTATTTCATGTTGACAGTAAAGTAGGAGAAGACAACTGGGAGAGATTAAAAACTCTGGCTTTACTAGATAAATCAACTACTCAATATACTACCATTAGTTATAAAGCTATACTGTATAATGGTTTTAATATCAGATCTTATCACAGTAGGTAGATTATTAGACTGCTTCACTTTGAACCGTTTCTAACATTGATAAAGGGCCAGTCATTGACTATTGCAAGACAACCTGTAGGTCGTTTGGAGGAAGGAGACAGTGAATCCATTTGGCTAATAAGTTGTGTCCCTTTTGTTTAACTCTCTTGCTGGTTCAGAGAAGGTGTTGGTGGTTCAGAGAAGGTGTTGCTGGTTTAGAGGATGTTGCTGGTTTTGGGAGGGTGTTGCTGGATTAAAGGGGAATTAGATCAAACAGAGTTACATCCCTTTATACAAACAGTTCTTTATCAATTCATCAAATGTAGCTTCAGCCATTTTCAGAATCAATTGCTTCCTATATCATAGGGATTTTTGATATTGTATCTTAATTGTGTTCTGATTAAATGTACTGATTGTAGATTCAGAATCTGGTGAATTGAGTCTAGAATTACTGGAACTAGCGAGCTATATACCAACCTATAATCTTAAAGACTTAGTAGAAATACTGAATCATCTTGATATAAACCAGAATACCTCTCTAGATCTCACTAGACCATTGAAGGTTTATAATTACTTAAAGGTAAGACTTTTACTGATTAGTTCAGAAATTAGTTGACTCTTTAAACTTTACTGTAAATAGTGGTGGTGCCAACCTTCTAAGACTGGGTGTACAAATAGGGGGCAGACTGACTCTATGGGGGGTACAGAAAAAGAGCAGACTAATGCCGCTGTACTGGCAAAATTTGACTCATTGCACCCTGCATGGCGTTCCCCGTCTCCATTAGCCCACATGGTGCATAAAAGTAGGACGTAAAACTCCATTCATTTCATTTCATTTATTCTATGGAGGGTACAACTGTTAAGGTTGAGATTGAAAATTCTGTAGGTCTTTGGAGGCAAATAGACGCAAGCCTCTCATGGAGCGTTTGAGAAGGAGTGATTTGGTGCATTCTGACACACATTTTGTGGCAAAACATATTAAACCATATGTTTCAATTTGTTAAAAATAAAGTAGGGGTAGAACTTGTTGGACTCCACCACTGAACATGTGGGTAAGATGTGGCTTTCTAATTAACCTTAGGAAGCTGCCAGCTTGAACCTTTCTCATCGGAGGTTGTGTACCTGTCATTTCCAGATTGTTGTTTTTAAACATATCAGTGTATTTGCAGGGTGAAGCTGTCCGAATGATGAGGAATAAGCCAGCACTGGGATCCAAGGATGAGATTCAGGACTTAATACAGGATCTTCTGGACTCTCAAAAAAGTCAACACTCCAGATTGATCGATGAAAGTCCCATCCCTGTCGGAAAGGGATCTTCAGATAAAGGCACCCTTAAGGTTATGGATAATCAGAGCTCATCCCACCAGATCCAATCGCCAGTGTCATCATCAGCATCTAAAGATCTTAATCCTGGATTAACATGTCTTGATGGTCAAGAGAATCTTCAACAGTTTAAATGCCTACATGACAGACCTATTTTCTATAAGCTGTATGATTTAGTTGATCTTCCACATGAAGACTCTGATGATACTTACCTATTTACCCAGACTCAGAAATCTACCTCTTGATGTCTTAGACTACGAAACTTCGCGCTTGAATTAGTTACCAGAGATTTAGCTTTAGTCCCAGGCCAAATGATTATGTTATGTACCAAGCTAGTCATGATTACTCTTTCTGTTAACTGAATGCAATCAGATAATGAGTTTATCACATTGGCATCCCTTTCAGATAGTCCATATAGGTAATATTGCATTGTTTATTTAATGTATTTATCAGCTAAACTATTAGAACAGAGTGCGCGATCGGCTCCTTCGCTACTAGTGGACAAAACTATAAATAGTGCATGACAGACCTCGTTAAGATACCAATGGACAAATCAAAAGTGCAAAAAACTAGCCGGATATCTGTCGATTATACAAACAGTTTAGCGTCGAGGTGGTGTCTTCATGAATATGATCAAATTAATAAAGTGTTTTGAACATTGTATCAGTATTGATTCTTTCGGATAGAGAGGAACATATTCTAGACTTTCATAGATCATTTGCAAACAGTCAGAAATCAGAAGGTCGTGGCCTGTCTACAGTGGCAGTCTACAGCCTCACGAGACTGGGGATACAAATAGGGGGTGCTAGAGACAAAACCAAATGGGGTTAAAATCGAAATAAGGCAACTCAGTGGAAGCGCCATAAAAAAGAAAATGTTTGAAAAATGGAATTGATTTGGTGCTTTCTGGTACATATATTGGGGAAAATACTCATAAAATTCATATAAGAAAATTTGTTAGAATTGAGTTGCAATTGGAGGTTCTGTAGGGTAAGGGCAGTGGAACTGGATGTCTGAAGAATATTGCCTACAGTGTGCTGTCTTCATAAACAATCTGCAGTAACGTATTTAGTAGAACCACATTTCATTTAATTTTCAAAGACCTTTACTTCCAATAGAAATAAAACAACAAATACAATAACTTTACAAATTTACAGAAAAAACTAAGTTATCATTGGGGAATAAGAAAAAAAACACTGGCACAGGCATGGATTAATCCTATTAACTAAATAAAAAAACTAGAAAACGCTACACAAGCCACTACAGTTTTAACATCAGACTGAGTTTGTGAAAACACATCACTGTAAGATGAACAGATAAACACAAACAAAAAATAACTCTACAACGTTGCTAAAGTATTGTTCTAATACATAACACGGGAGAGTTCATTAGACATATAACATTGCAGCATATCGAGAATGTTGCATGTAAGGGAGAGTTCATTAAACATACAACACTGCAGTATATCGAGAATGATGCATGTCCGGGAGAGTTCATTTAACATACAACACTGCAGTATATCGAGAATGATGCATGTGTGGGAGAGTTCATTTAACATACAACACTGCAGTATATCGAGAATGATGCATGTGTGGGAGAGTTCATTTAACATACAACACTGCAGTATATCGAGAATGATGTATGTGTGGGAGAGTTCATTTAACATACAACACTGCAGTATATCGAGAATGATGCATGTGTGGGAGAGTTCATTTAACATACAACACTGCAGTATATCGAGAATGATGCATGTGTGGGAGAGTTCATTTAACATACAACACTGCAGTATATCGAGAATGATGCATGTGCGGGAGAGTTCATTAGACATACAACACTGCAGTATATCGAGAATGATGCATGTGTGGGAGAGTTGATTGGACATACAACACTGCATCATATCGAGAATGATGCATGTGTGGGAGAGTTGATTAAACATACAACACTGCAGCATATCGAGAATGATGTATGTGTGGGAGAGTTCATTTAACATACAACACTGCAGTATATCGAGAATGATGTATGTGTGGGAGAGTTCATTTAACATACAACATTGTTGCATATCGAGAATGATGCATGTGCGGTAGAGTTCATTAGACATACAACACTGCAGTATATCGAGAATGATGCATGCGTGGGAGAGTTCATTTAACATACAACACTACGGTATATCGAGAATGATTATGATGCATGTGCGGGGGAGTTCATTTAGCATACAACAATGCAACATATCGAGAATGATGCATGTGCGGAAGAGTTCATTTAACATACAACATTGTAGCATACCAAGAATGATACATATGCGGGAGAGTTCATTAAACATACAACACAGCAGTATGATGCATGTCAGGAAGAGCTCATTAAAGAGCTGAATGGTGTAATAGTAACAATTCTCTCTTCGGCATTCACGAACACCAAGAAATGAAACTGGAATATGGAATATTCTGAATGAGGTCATAGGTTACCCACAAAAGTCAGAATCTTGCTCGACTTTCTCAAAACACAGTTCATGAATTTCGCCGTTTGAAAAGACGGAGTGGTATGAAAATTATAGACGTCCCAAATCTCTGTACACTGAATAAATCGCACACAAGTAACTTATTAGTTTATCCCCCGCGATATTCATTACAATAGAAACTGTCCTTCTTTATACACACACGTTCCACAACACAGTTCTTTGTTGAGTTCACAATCCTGTTCTGGTTTCAGATGGTTGGTACACCATGTTGATTTGTCGCCGAATTCACAGCCTGTGGAAGAGAAAAAATGAATAGTGTTGTAAATAATACAACAATGTGTGTGGGTAAAACGTGGACAAATGTGGCCTGGTCAGTAAATAAGACTCGAGTGTTTTTAATGCACTCGTGTCTACAGGAATCAAATAAACCTCTAGAAAAAATTCCAGCTTTGTTTTCTGGTAAAGTAGGTCGTAAACCTCCATTTCAGTTCTTTTCGTGGTATAGAAATCACAATCAACAGTCTCTGAGCTCTCTGTTATCTGCCAGAAATGCACAATCTAACCCTACAAATCTGGTCCCACCCGTTCCTCGAACGTGATATGTGGATGGGATTACGAGCCGATATCCCATCCGTATATCCGTTAGATTTTTTGGACTAATGCCCAATCAGGAGATAGAAAGTCCTTTTATTTTATCAAAATACTCCCTGTGTAAGATAGAACAATAGAAACATGCTTACCTGGTCTGTCATGTCGTTTCTGGTCAGCACAAGATCCACAACATAACGCCGAGTTTTTATAACATCCCATTGGATAGGGAACTTTAGCACAGTCAGTATGTTTATCACCGTATTCACAACCTGTATAGTGGAAAACATTATTTACACTGAAAAATGTCCGACCTAAAATCTTTATTGAACGTGATATTGTGCGCTCATGATTAAATTTCATCAAAGCAAAGTCCTCCTTAGAGTGTTATTTTGAAGCTGATATTACAATTGACCTAAATATAATGGGTGAAATTCCATTTCGCAATCTACAATCTTGTGAATGGTCTATTTTTGTTACTTTGGAGAAAGACATTTTTGCATAACAGTGTTTGTCTACTCATTTCAGCTTCAGTCCACATTACCACCCAAAGAAACAAAACTGTGCCCCTGGAATTAGTGTGGCTTTCCATTCTGTTGAAAGCAGTAGCGTTTTAGGAAAAATTAGTTGAGGGGGTCTAGCAGGGGTCACAAAATTGTCCAGGGGAGCTATGCGTTCACTATGTAAATTGTTCAAAATCGTGAAAGTGGAGGGGGGGGGGGGGGTGGGGGGGGGGGGTCTT